GTGTGAACCACCAATGAAAGGGCAAGCTGCCGGAAACTAGTGTAAATACCAAACAGATGAGGGGAAACACCTCCCCTGGGAGCAGGCAGGGTGAGCGGCAGCCCAGCTGCTCACAGATCAGAGAAGTACAGGCAGCTCAGCCACGTGCAATTAAATTATGTGTGAACGATGGCAAACCTAAAAATAGCCTGACTCAGCCACGGAGGTTCCTGCTGTCAATGGTTTTCAGCTCAACTGTCAGGAGTGACTATAGCAACAGAAAAATGAACATGTGAAAAAGTCTTCTAAAGTTGACAGGAAAAGTTTAGATTTAATAAAACACAGATTTTCACTTCCCGTCTCTAAATCTTTGAATTCACATAGCTCACTTATGTGGAGGTAATGAAATGGGAATTTTGGTAGAGTTTTGAGAAGACAAATACTTTTTCAGTGTTGGCTTCCAGAACTATAAGGAAATAACTGCTAACCAGTCAATTTTATTACCTCTACAATTAACGGACCATTTAAACAAATGCCTTTATTTAATTTTTAACTGAGATGCTCTTCTCTGTATTTGTTCTGTTATAAAAATAGCCTTCAACTGTACTTGACATTTTAAGATATTATTTCATGTCTGATGATAACATAGGTTGATATGGCATTCTCTTGAAAAGAAAGGAATTTAGTGAAAATAATTAACATTAGAAAAGGGTGCAGAGCAGTAACTCCCAGGATGAGTATGTGAGGCCGCTCTCACGGCCCTCGGGAGGCTCATGCCACGGTGGCCTGCAGACGCACCACTGGGCTCTGACAAAGCTGCTTTTGCTCAAAGAGCTCACACACCTAATCTGAGGGCCGGCAGATCCAAAAATCCAGCATCTTTTGGCGTGATTTGATGGAAGAATATTCGAGTAGGTTTGGGGAAGTGTGGTACTGTTCCCAGCTCTCCTGCTAACTAGCGGCGGGGCCCGAGACCGGTCACTACTCAGCTCTCCGGTCATGGGCTGGCTGAGTTTCCCAGGCTCGTCCACCAGAAGGGACAGTTAAGAGTTAAGGGGAAAGAGGGGGAGGGTTTGTGCTGAAAACCCAACCTGTGCTGGGCTTTAAAAACATACTAGTCTTGGCAACCAGCTGGCAAGAGATTGATCTTTGTATCTCCATTTTATATATGTAGACGCGATCATAAGCACGCTGATCTCACAGGTGACGGAGCCTGGTTTCAACCCTGTGTCTGTCTGATGCCCACGAGGCTGTCTCTCCTTCTCAGGTACCACTGTAGCCGCTCTTACCGCTGACTCTTGCCTGCAGTGTAAAGACTGACCCCCAGGTGCTAGTTACACGCACTTAAGGCATCTACAGATTTTCCAAGCATAGAAGACTAGGTCCCTTAGAAAGTCCCTCTATACTCTTCCTTTCACTCAGGCCACCACTGTTAATGGTTACTTTCACATCAAATGTATTCTATTGTGCCACCTGCTGTTTTCACTTCACAATATATTATGAACACCTCCTTATGTTAATGAATATTTTAATCTTTATAAAGATTGCATTACTATATTATAATCAATCACTTAGTCATGGATTTTTCACTTGTGCCTATTTTTGAACTACTTTAATAATCAGGAAAAACGGAAAAGGTCATATGGAAAAAATACTAGGGTATTAAAGTCATTTTTAAAGGATATAATTTAAAAAGTAGATCAAGAGCTTCACCTCAATTAATCTTTGTGTTTTCCTCAAAGTTTTGCTTACAGTCAAAACTGCCTACAACCCGGGAACACCCTTTAATAAACCAGCGTTATATATGCAGATGAAATAAAATGCATGTGCAGCCCCCAGGGCCACAAATTCTCCGTAGCAACCCTCAACCCTACTGTAAAAATGCAGTCGTGCTATCTGTATGGCAAAAAGAAGTCGACAGCCATGTGAAGGGATTCTGGCTGAAAGTGAAACATATACACAAAAACAAATCTAGTTTTGTGGTTAGCTGAAAATTCACAGCTGGGTATGGGCTTTTCTTTAATTAAAGTGCTTCCCCCTCCCATGCAATGAGAAAATGCTCTTCTGGTGCTGACTGAAAGAACAAAAATCAGAGCAAAAGCTGTTTGAAAATTCTGAGGCTTAAGTAAAGTTGCTTTAAAAGCTGCTATGTGGCCCAAACAACTTGGAAATATCCTACTCTAGGATTTTGCTAGAGTTCCAGTACATCTTTTCAGTCACTTCTTTGTTCTCCTACTTTGGCCAAAACCAAAAATCAAGTAACACGAAGGTCACCCATTTAGCTGGAGAAGGAAAAAATACACACACGTGCATGTGCACACACACATGCCCACACTTACTTTAAAATTAAAATTATATTTAAATAATTAACTAAAACTAGTTATGTAATACATATCAGTTATTTATACATAAACTGCCTCTTCGTTACTTCTTTTTGAAGCATTTTATTTTTTTATTGCAGTATAGTTGCTTCACACGGCTGTGTTAGTTTCTGCTGTACAGCAAAGTGAATCAGCCATACGTATACACACATCCCCTCTTTTATTTGGATTTCCTTCCCAGTTAGGTCACCACAGCGCACTGAGCAGAGTTCCCTGCGCTGTACAGCAGGTTCTCATTAGTTATCTTTTTTATACATCGGAGTGTATATATGTCAACCCTAATCTCCCAATTCATCCCACCCCCTTCTTTTTGGTGTATTTTAAACTGTGATGCTATAAGATTCATGTAAAATCAATTCTATATGAATTTTAAAAAGTGGTCATAAAGAAACATATAGAGTTTTGAAGGGGGTGGAAGCAGGTGTGACGGGGAACGTCTCTTTCTGTGATTACAGATACTACCCTTTTGATCACCTACCGCAGTTTGTCCTGCAGCTTCCCCCTCCTGAGCCCTTTCTCTGGAGGAGGGGTCAAGAGAGCAGAAAGAAGGCAGAGGATAGAACAGGGCCCAGCGAGCGGGAGGCCGCGCGACACTTGGTTCAAGCACCTCTCTGAAGCCGTAAGAGAGCGTGTATTACTGCCTCCAGGCCAGTATGTTTTAGGCTACATCCAGACGACAGCCATGTTGGCCACATGTCATGGACCCAGGACCCAGCAGGCTGGGTGACTGATAGAATCTGAGGTATAAAGTCTATATTCATCCCTCTTGAGTTTTTTCATTCTTCTAAAAAAGAGGAAGGACGACTGAATTTTGGAGACAAGTGAGGATTGCGTTCCTGATTTATCATTGAGACCAACTTGCCAGAGCAAAGTCAAGTACAGGAACTTAATTATCTGGATAATTTTGGCACCAGGAATTCACTTTGCCTTTGTCTCCATTACTCGGCTAATTCAAATGATTAGATTTTGCCTGGGCTGTCACTGTTATTCCTACATAAAGTGTTTGTCTATAATAAGCTTCGTGTTCTACAAACAACTGCTCCCTGAGTCTAGGAAAACCAAGGACTGAGCTTCAGGGCTGTCTTATACTTACAACAGTTATTTAAACACTCCTTTAAAGGGTGAAAAGTAGGAATTTATACCATATGCTTGTACATGTGTGAAAGGTTATATAAGATTCTTCATTTGAACATCATTTGTAATGTTAAAAGACTGGCAACATCTTAGGTGCTCATTAGTCTGGGGTTAAATGAATTATGATACAGCCATATAATGAGATTCAATGCAGGTGTAAAAAAGCATGAGGCCACTCTGTATTCATATAGAAGTGCTCTCCATAGTACAGCGTTCAATGAGAAATCAAAGTGCAGAACAGTGCGAGGATTATGCTCTACTTGCACTCTGAAAGGGTAAGTGCAGGGTTATATTGCTTTGTACAAACATAGTTTATTTCTGAAGGATAAACACGAAACTGATAAAAAAAAAATGGCTGTTTTCAATCGTCAAAAATAGGATTGAGCTGTGAAATATACATGATTTTCGTCTGTTTTGTTCACTAGTATTTCTCCAGTGTCTAGAAAAGGGCCTGGCATGTTGCAGGCGCTCAATATTTGTGGAATAAAATGAAGAAAAATTAAAAAAAACAAACAAACATAAAGTCTATCTTCAGCGAAGGCCCCAGAGATGGGCCACGCTCATGGGCCCTGCCAGCGGGAAGAGGCCTTGGTAGGTTCTCTTTGGTTTCCCCTCATAGGTGTGGTACGTCCTGATTTCTCACAGTGCTTGGTATTGCCACTTCTCCGCACTCACCAGGCAGCATACTGGCCATTTCCATGAGATTACATGTCCTGTTTTCCTAATTTGCTCCCAAACTACAGATACTAGACACTGGAGAATGGAGAAGGAAAGGACGTCCATAAGTGGGCTGAAAATAACCACAGTATGGATTATAAAAGTTCTGCAAGCAGAATGGAGTTCCTGAAGCAATACACAGGTGGTCCAGCAGAGACCTCTTCTAATACAAAATACAGAACTTTCACAAATGTAGAGAATAAGGCCTGAACTCTCTCATGTGACATATGGACAACTCACACATAAACTCAACTTCCAACTAAGACTTCTTTTTTTTTTTTTTTAAGACATTTCTTAAAGTATAGGCACAGTCAGAAGTAAGAAAAGGTCAGGGTCCTGACATGCATTTTGGGCAGGTGGTTAAAAACATATACTTAAAAATATAACGAAAGCACTGTCAACATAATCATCACATGAGTGACGATAGGCAGGTTAGCACAAGAGTAGAGCTGACCATCTGATCTTGAAAGTTCAATATTTCATTTTGGTTTGGGGCAGAAAGATATTCACAAAGGGCAGTGTAGCCGTTAAGAGCTGAAATCTAGAGTCAGACTGCTTGATTTTGAATTTCTCCTCTACTCACTGGTGTTATAATTTGGGGAAACTGTATTAATCTCTGTGCATCAGTTTCCTCATGTGCACAAGGTGGATAGTAATCGTACACCTACTGCAGCTCTGCTGTGTGGGTTACATGAGATAATTCACGTAAAGCGCTCAACACAGGCCCTCGCGGCTGGGCTATTACTGTCACGACTGTCAGCGTGCCCAGGGCCAAAGTACTTCACTCACCAAGATGAGTGTCCATCACCTTCGCACAGTATTTGCACATGGCATCCAGGTCATTCAACTGTCCTTGAAGGAGGGAAATCTGGGCTTCTAATTCTTCTTCCTAAAATGAAGGGAGCAAAGATATGAAAATGAAAAAAAAAAAAAAATCAAAGAAAATCCCCAAAGTCCTCCAAATGATCTGGACTGTTAAAGAGCCACAGTGTCTTTTCAGCCCTAGACAGAACAAAAGAAAGCAACAAATAAACAACAGCAAACCCACTACTGCCACCACCAACAAACCAGAGTAAGGGTAAAGTGGAGGTTTAAAAAAATCTGGACTTGGGCTTCCCTGGTGGCGCAGTGGTTGAGAGTCCGCCTGCCGATGCAGGGGACACGGGTTCGTGCCCCAGTCCGGGAGGATCCCACATGCCGCGGAGCGGCTGGGCCCGTGAGCCATGGCCGCTGAGCCTGCGTGTCCGGAGTCTGTGCTCTGCAACGGGAGAGGCCACAACAGTGAGAGGCCCGCATACCACACAAAAAAAAAAATCTGGACTTCTAATTGAATGCCAGCTTTGTGCCACGTGTAAATGTTTACCCATACAACCTTGTATTACAGAAGTACATAAAATATCTTCAGTAACTGTGGAGCCACACAAATTGAGAGTAAATGGGATTGCAGTGGACCCTACTCCTTAGGCAGCTGGTACGAGACCATTACATTTTCTCACACACATTTGAGACACCAAAGATTTCCATTTGTTTCAGACAAATCTCATCATTTTCTAGACAATGATAATCTCTTAAAACGTGAGATTTCCCAAAGCACTTGGAAAAGTTCTGTCCCCACAGCCCATAATTAGCTGCTCTTAACGTTTCCTCTCTTGGTAGGATACTAGAGGATCGTATTTATTTGACTGTTTCCAGGAAAAAAATACTCTGGGTGGGATAATTATCTAAATGGTAAAAGACAATCTAACTGTAACAAAAGGATAAAACGTGGGTTTTGGGTTTTTTTTTTTTAAGAGAAAAAGGAATACATGCAAAAAAGTTCCCAAGGAAATTTCGAAGATTAAGGGAGTTTTTCTCAGAGAAAGAGTAATCCTCAAAGCTGGAGGAGGCTAGCAAATTGATTTTCGAGTGTTAGACACTTTTCTTTTCACATTAAGAATCCTCTGTGTCATCAAAAAAAAGGGAAGAGAAACCTCCCAAGAGATACTTTTTCTTAGAGACTGAATATAATTTGACACATAGATGGAAATTAACAGTTGAAAAGGTTACTTGTAGGTGTACCACATTTAAGCAACACACATAGGCAGCACTGTTTTTAACGGCTGCCTGGAGGCTGAGCCCTTAGGAATATGCATTTAAATGCTTGACGCAGAAAACAGACATAGCCATAGCTCTAAAAACAAATTACTGTGAAATGCCCACTGTAGGATTACACAAGCATGAACCGTGTACTTTATACATCCCACAAGGCAAAGCAGCCTCTCTTCTGATACTCAAGTAAAGACAAATGCAACCAGGAGAAGCTCAGACAGGGAGTGATTACTGGGGCCTTGGGTAGGTGGTTTCAGGTCATTCTTCTTCTCCTTTTTCTCCTTTGTGTCTGCACAAACTTGAGTTTCCCCGTTCTATCAGGACCCTACAGGAATCACAGAAAGAAGGCTACATCTGTGGGTTAACCCTGGTTGCGGTTCGTCTCCAAAGATGGCCACCATCCATTCCTTCCCTCCCTCAACGGACATGCTGTTCCGTTCATCAAGAGGTAGTGTCTATTTCTCCTCCCCTCGAATCCTGGCTGGCCTGTCACTTGCCTTGATCCAGAGGGTGCAGCAGAAGTCAAAGTGTTCCAGCTGGGGGCTAGTGTAAGAGGCCTGCCAACTTCTGCTTTCTTCTGCTTGCACTAGAGGAAGGGGGCTACCATAGTTAGTTGTCAAGAAGCTCAGGCTAGGATACTGAAAGGGAGGAGAGACAAAATGGAGAGAAAGAGGCCACAGGAGAAGCAGTGAGGTTCTAGACACGTGAATGGCGTCTTCCTGGACCCTTCAGCTCCACCTGTCTGAAGCCAGCCAAATGAGTAACCCAGTCAGCATCGCGTGGAACGGAAGAGCAGCCTAACCCAGCCTTGTCCAGATGCCTGACCGGTAAACCTATGAGAAGTAACAATGCCGTTTTGAGGAGCAGGGTTTGGGGGTGGTTTGTTATGTAGCCACAGATAACTGACATGGTGGTGGAATGGGAAGAACACTAGAGTGGTATATGGCACAAGGAAATCTGACTTCTATTCCTGGTCCTGCCATTAACAAGTCATGTCAACTTCTGGGCCTAACTCTGGCACCCTCTGGAGAAGGCAGAAGTTAGATACTTTGCTCCCAAGGAGTTTACAAGCTTGGAGTTGGAATAGGAAAGGTATATAAACTAGAGGATGAGGGAGAGTACATGAAAATCTTACAAAGAAATAAGAATAACTGCCCTGGGAATCCTGATCCCAGCCTCCTGTCCCTCCTATGGAACAAGTCACCTTTTCAATGTGTCACAGGTACAAACCCAACTGGAAGAGTCTCAAACTGTACTGAGGCCAGCTCGTGGAAGTCTTTCGAAAGAAGGGGATCCAGGTATGGCCAGAGTCTGTCCTTGCACTCGGCTACCATTTGGGGTGCTGAGAGCCCGGAATGGACTAAAGGACACCAGGAACGAACCACCTCCTGGCTTAAAAACCTCTTGTCTATTTACTCTATGTATTAGTTTAGTTTGGATTAAGCCATCACTTCTTATAAGATGCAAAAGCCCTTGGGAGCCTTAATCCCCAGCAGTCATTCCTACCTGGACGGATTTATTGTATTCAGTTTGTTTTCCTTTTAAAAGCTGGGAGGGAACAAGAGCTGGAGGGGACGCAGGCCTTGCCTGTGGGTGGTGAGGCACTGACAGCTGGAGGGAAGTACGGAGCTCAAGGGGGTCTCTTCCTCCAAACGCGATACCGGGCTGGTAGGAACATGACTGTAAGGAAAATGGGCTGAGGCTGGCGCCCTCTGAACTGTGCAGTGCACAACCTGAACAAGTGCACGGGGCAGACCCGAGAGCACGGCAGCGGAAGCGTGTGCTGGCTGAGCACACGGGGATATAAGACACAGTCTTCCAGGCGTGCACTTTTGCGTAGGACACTGATGGCAAGTGAAGAGCATCTTGCTTGCCAAAATCCTGAGTAAACCTCAATACAAATGGAATCTGCTCTGTAGAAAATGGCAGTTTTCATTAATTTAAACCTTTTTTTTTTCTTCCAAAGGAAAGCTGACACTAAAGCCCAATTATGAGATAAGAGGAAGCATTCTGGTTGAAACAGGTTGAGGGGCGCAAGAACCTCTTCCGTTTGACAGTTTGAAATTCAGTGTATGATCTCTCTAGAGTTTGCTTAATCTTAAAATATTCCTAAGCCCTTCAACAATCACTCAGACTTTATAAATAGAAATGGCATCACTTGGAGGCAAAAGGGTGGCTTGTCATTTATTCTTCACTCTTTCATATAATTACAGATAAAAGAAGAGCCGAGAATCAAGCTTCTAAAATTGTGAGAACTGACTTTCCATTTCTATCTTAGCTTCTCAGGCTCCACATGCCTCCCGACTAACATGCTTCAGACACTGACAGCTTTAGTCAATTGTTTTCATTAATGGTCCTCTGTAATCAAAAACAAATGCTTGGCTAATTGCCTTGAGGTTTTATAAAAACAACCGATTAGTGTCATTTTTATGTATAAATAAGACATGAAGAGAAACGCTTACTATATTTACTTTCACATACATGTTCTGTTACAGGAGGGAGGATGGTGAAACAGGGCGGAATTCAGGGGAAGACACACCTGGGTTTGAATCCTCTTTCTACCAGTTACTGGCTGTGTAATCTTGAACAAGTTGCTTAATTTCTTGGTCCCCTCAGCCCCACTTGGCAGTATTGGTGGGAGAACCAAATGATAACACATGGAGAGTGTCTGGCAAAGAACAGGTACTCCATAAAGGCAATTATTCTTTTTTTAAACATTTTTTTTATCAGGTCAAAACAATAAAATGGATTTTAAATACACAGGTCTATGATTCACTCTTGGTTTAAAACTTTTATGTGGCCCAGCCCAGAAAGATGAATTAGGGCTTGGGAGCCCATTATTGTCTTAAGTTCTGGATAATGAACTGATGTGTAAGGCAAGAAACTGATGGAGGATTATGAAGTAGGGTGGTGTGAAGACCACGTGTGCAACACACAGCACCAGATGGATCTGGCAGCCCTGCAGAGAAGGACCAAGGATGAGGGCCGTCCCATCAGAAGAGGAAAACAGCCGTCATCTAGTCCTTTTATAGTGGTTATAATATGCCTGACCCTGCGCTTCACGTGCATGAACTCATTTAATCCTCACAATAAACCTATGAGGTAGACCCTCTCATCATGTCCTACATGAAACGTGGTCTCCTCTGTAAGCCACGTTCTCTGGAAGTGATGCCAAGGTTGACAAAGCTGTTTCAGAACCCAAGTCACTTAGCCCACGACTCCTATTTCCCCATGTATATATATTCTTTCTTATACTTGATTACTACTAGGACTTACAAGGAATAACCTCGTATCTCAAGTTTCCTTTAAGAGAAATTCACTATTTCCAATGTTAAGTCCTAACCCCAAATGGCTTACTAAGTTATTTTCCTTCAAAAACACTCAGGTATGATTGGCTGTGTTCCATTTAGTTTGCGGAATATTTCTGCTTGGACTGTATCTGGAGAAATGTTTTTTGAATTTGCTTTTTAAAAAGTGGTGCTTCTGGGCTTCCCTGGTGGCACAGTGGTTGAGAGTCCACCTGCTGATGCCGGGGACACGGGATCGTGCCCTGGTCCGGGAAGATCCCACATGCCGCGGAGCAGCTGGGCCCTTGAGCCATGGCCGCTGAGCCTGCGCGTCCGGAGCCTCTGCTCCGCAACGGGAGAGGCCACAACAGTGAGAGGCCCGCATACGGAAAAAAAAAAAAAAAAAGTGGTGCTTCTACCACCATTCACCCCCAAATAGTTGATGCATCATTACACTTCCACTCACATAGTATATGTCTCAAATGTTTAAATTGTTTTATAATATATGGATTAT